CTGCAGTCAACCAGGGTCTGCTGGGACACGGTCCAGGCATGAACAGCATGAACACCATGCACATGCAGATGCCCATGAATGGCGGCTACCCGCCCAACAGTTCACCCGGTGGTCCTCGGTTTAACCACCCCCCGCCCCCTCACAACCACGGACCACCTTTCAGCGGCGGCGGAGGCCCCCGCATGATGGGACCACCGCCAGGTCAGGGGAGAGGAGACGGCAACTACTGGGGAGATGACTCGATGAGAGGAGGGCCGCACAGAGGGGGGCACTTTCACCGAGGAGGCCGTGGTCGGGGAGGAGGAGACCCAGGATTTAGAGGCAGAGGGCGAGGAGGTCCCAGAGGAGGAGGACACAACAATATGAACGGTACCTTATTTTCAAGTCTTATTTTAAATGTGTTTGTATTCTGCAAAGTTTGCAGACTGTGCAGAAGTATTTAGTATGTTTCACTCAAATTTCTTCTTTGTTTCACATTCTTCACCCTTAAATCTATCATCCGTTTAATGCTGTTTTCTCCTGGCAGACATGTCCAAGAGGCCTGTTTGTCGTCACTTCATGATGAAAGGAAGCTGCAGGTACGAGGGCAGCTGTGCTTTCTACCACCCCGGTGTTAACGGACCACCACTGCCCCCCAAATACCCCGCTAACAACCAACATAATCAGCACCCACAGCACGGACACTAGGTGATGTTGCCATCAGCCGGGGAATAACTGAAAGACACTAGAGTAGCCGTTAACGGCGATCCAATTAATGCAGGACGTCTGTCTTTAGACAATTATGGAAAGACCAGGATGGTCTGTCCTGAACTGTGAGCTTGCTGCTGGAGCTGAAGAGTCTGTGACAGGACAAGAAGAGAGAAGACAAGAGATTGTAAATGAATGACTGGACGGCTGTGAGATGATCACTGATGTGACTTTGTTTTTATCGTGTTCATTTTTAACAGTGAGATTGAGCTACCATGTGTCCCCACTGCGTCTGAGTCGCTGCAGCTCGCTGCCTGTCTGCTTCGTCACTTTCCAAATCATTAACAGAGTTGGCCAAATGAAAATGTCCAGCTCAGCACACCACTTCATTTCCTTCTTATAGTGTTGCTCTCTGGTTTTGTTGCACCATCAGTAAGATTTGTACAGAAGAATTGGAAATGTTTTCCCTTCCTGCATGAGACAAAACTTTAGAAAAACTTGGCTTCATCAATGATTTTTGAAAACTGGGCCTGTAAAGAAACAGAACTTAAACCGCCTGAGTTCGCCTACCCCTGAGAAAACTGCTGCTATGAACTCTGCTGATCTGAGTCGATCCTTTGCTTTTGCTTTTCTCCAACAGCAGTGTGTCATATGTAAGCATGGTGGGGCGATCACAACATGCTACGCTATTGTCAGAGCCGCTGCCTGTCACCTCTGTACTCGTCTAAATCCAGGAGGGTTTGTGTCGTCAGTGTTAAAGATGGGAACGAGTCCCTCTGTGGGTCGCCTATATTATGTGTTTTCTGTGAAAACAGTCATTTGTGTCTCTTGTGGGACTGTAAGAGGTTTTTTTG